CACAGCAAAAAATTGCAAAATTGGTAACATTCATTTTTTGTGACTTTTTTGGAAAAATTGCCAGGGAAATTTCTTGTTTACCGAGGACTGTTTGGACGATTTCGTGAGATTATTTGAATGAAAGTACGCCGATTCGTGACAAACTATACTGATAGGCAGTAATTTGCAAGGGCCCCCTTTCAGCTAACTAAAAATCCGACCTCACCAACGCTCCTCTGTCCTTAATCACGAGCCATGAGGAAATAAATTGGCTTTGTTAATTTAATTTTTTTAGCCTTAGATGTTTTGCATTGGTTTTCTCAGGGGACAGCTAAAGGTTTAGCAAGAGCAGGGAATTCTTCCAGTGTAATGCTGATTTTTAATCGCAAAAGACTGCTGGAAATAGCGGAGACAGCGGAATTAATGGACCGAAACATTTTTTACCATTATAATAATTTTATTACTTTTACTAATTTCTTAATATTTTTTCTCTTCCATTCTCCTTATTTCAAAATACATTTCTATTACTGTTTATTAATATTATAACGTTAGTGTTTTGCTGGAATACACGCTCCACATTAATTTCAACTACACGAAGACATCAGATTATAGGTAACATGCCATGACCTGTACATGGTAGCGGGTCGCATTTACACATTCTAGAGAGGCTATTTACCTGCATAGGATGTTGCTGTTTGCTTGCATAGGATGCTGCTCGTTACTTGTATAGGACGGCCCACCCTCGCGCTATAGCGCTTCCGCCCCGCCCTTCAGCTCACGCTAGGCCCAGCTGTGCTCCATTTGGGAAGTATGCGTTACTCGAGCTTTATACGAAGCAACATTGGGTGTTTGCTTGGATCAATTGCTGTTACACGAACTTTGTTGACATATTACCTGTAATCTGATTTTTTCGTGAATTCAATAACTTTCCATACTGAGCTCACACCATTCACCGTATGTTTTGTGGTTGCGAACCACTTTTTGAAACCTAGGGTCCACTTGTTTTTGCGCGACGTCAGTCGATTATAAGCATGACGAGCCAGTGTGTTTTCCCTGTCGGTTTTTCCCTCATTTTCCCCATAACCTATTGAAATTAAAAAATCTAATGGCGGATCGTTACAGCGCGTGAAAATATGTGTAAGTTGATGAGTATATTTGATGCAATGGAAGATGCTTTGTTGCGCACATCAAAACAGATGAAAAGTGTACTGGAAGGGAATAGTAACGATCCAGAAGGTGAGGTCTTTTTTTACAAGCGAAATTTATTATTTGATATTTTCTTATGTATTTTCATGATTTTTTCGGTCTTTTGCTCTATTTTCAATTGATATTTCTTTGCAATGCATGTTTTTTTCTTACTTTATTTTTTTCCACTTATGTCTGCTTATTATTAAAATAGTGGTAGCGCGCAAGAAAATGAATTTTCAGGATCTCGGGACACTGATGATGAAGAAATTGAAAGTTCGGCCGATGAAAAATCAGATGCAGAATGTGCAGATATAGGTGAAGCAGGAAAAATGCTTGCTGAAAGTGATAATGCGAAACAAGAAGACTTCAGTGGTTCTTTTTCAAATGACATGTAAGTTTTTTTTTTTCAATTTTCATGAATTTTCATTTGATTTTTATGAATTTTCATTTGGTCTATTTATTAAACCGTTAAAACTAATTACAGACAAGAGTTTTCTTTTTTTTTTTTTTTGAGGGAGACTGCCCTATCGACCACTACAAAAATTTGGCATCATAAGAAAAAAATGGCCAACGCACGGGCTGCCCGTGCGAAGATGCGTTTTTTGCAGAGTTCCCCGCAGGTT